ATATAATTAAAGAGAAGTACTATTTTCTGTTTTTTGCGTTTTTTAGAAAGTTTCTAGTATTAGTATAGCTATTTTTTTAGGAGTTATATATATAATTACGGGATATAAGATACGGGATATAGGTAATAAAATATAAGTAATAAAATATAGGATACGGGATATAGTTATATAACTTTATATTTTATTAGTAACTTAACTAGTAAACTAGATCTCTTTAGGCTTAGTAAATTTAGGAATTATATATTAATATTATAATACTATAATTCTTACTTCTAAATAATAACTTTACTAACCTTATATAAATAGTACTTCTATGTCTATATAATAGTACTATATATTACTAGTAAACTAATAGCTATTAATACTAATTTTAATATTTTTTATATAAAAAAGCTTTATAGAAATTAAATAAAAAATAGTATTATTATATAATAAAACTAATATATAAAACTTCTCGTTTATTATTACAAGCTTATATAGCCTATTTCAATTACTAAATTAATTAATATTTCTTTTATATTATATAAAAATATTTAAATTTAAAATAAATTTATAAATATTAGTAATATTAAAACTATTTTAAATATTTATAATATTTATAATTTAATATTTAGCTTAAAGCTTTTAAATTTCTATTATTTATTTTTTTAAATAATAAAATATTATATTTAGTTATTATTAAAATAAAATAATATTATAATAGTAATAAAGTATTTAAATTAAGCTAAAAGCTATTTACTAAGCTAAAAATACTAGTTATATACTAAGTTATATATAATAATTATTTAAAATAAAATATTATAAATAAAAAAATTAAAATATTATTATTCGGGTTTATAAAATTATTAATAATTTTAAAAGTTATTTAGAATATAATATTTTTATTAATTCTATTAATTTCGGCTATAATAATAAACAAATATATTAAATTAAACTATAATAATATTTTATAATTCTAATAAAATTATAAGCTTTTATAAAAACAATTATAATTTTAGTATTTATAGTATTTATAAATTAAATAAATTTTTTATTAGTAAATTACTTTTTAATATTTATTATAATCTAATTAGAAATATTTAAATAAATATTAATTTAATATTATTTTAGAAAATGTTAAATATATAAAATATTAATTAGCTTAATATTAAGTGCCTTTATTAATAATATAAAATATAGACTTATTAGAAATATAGAAAATATTAATAATAATAAAATAATTAAAGCTAATATTATTTTTTAAATTAAACTTAAATTATTCTAATAATTATTCGAATTTCTAGTAATATTTAAAAGTTTTTATATTAATATTATAGCTTATTTATTCTAGTATATTTCGAAATTTATTAAATAATTAATAATTAAAATAATAATATAAATATTATAATTTGATTTTTATTAAAAAAAATAGAAGTTATAAATAAAGTATTCGAAAATAAAGCTTTATAATATAATACTTAAAAAAAATATCTGAAATATTATATTATAAATATATAATATTTAAAGTAATAAAATAATTAATAAAATTATTAAAATAGATTTCTAATTTATTTATATTAGCTAAACTAAATAAAAATAAAGTTTTTATAAATATAATATAAAATTATATTTATTTAATTAATATTTTTATTATTATAAATTTAATAAAAAATATAAATTTAATACTACTATTAGTTTATTATAAAGCTTATAATTAATTAGAACTAATAATTAAAAATTTAAAAAATTTAGTATTAATTATAATTTTTTAAAAGTAATAAGTATTATAACTAAAAAATATTATTTATTATAAAGATTAAAGTATTTTTTATTATTAGTTTTATTAATAATTTATTTAGTTCCAAAATATAGTTTTTATTTATTAATTAATATATAAGAAAAAGGGAACTAAAATTATTTATAAAAATATTAGCTATAATTATTAATATAATAAAAATAGCTAAAAGACTCTTAATTAAAATAAAAACATCTAAATAATAATTTTTAATTTTATTTATTAATACTAGAAAAGCCTTAAAAATATTATTTATATAATTTTTTTTATTATTATTTTTTTTATTTTTATAATATTATTTTTTATTTTATTTTAATTACTAGTTATAAATAGCTATTACTAAACTTTTTATTAAATTAATAAAAGTTTAAAGCCTTAAATTAATAAAGATTTCGAGTTTTAAATCGAGTTATTTTAGTTTTTCATTTTTTTAATATATTTTTTTTAAAATAGTATTTAAGTTTTTTTATATATAAAATATAATTTATTTAGATAATTATTCGAATAGCTATTTTAGAGGCTATAATTATAACTAGAATTATATTAATAATTTTTAAATAAATAAAATTATTAGTAAATAAAAAGAATTTTAATATTAATTTTTTTTATAAATTATAATGAATAATTAAAGTTTATTAATAAATTAATCGAGATTAGAAAAAGAATTCGAGATTACATTTTAGTATATTAGTATATTTTAATAAGAAATAATAATTTTATTATATAAGAATTCGATATTTTATAAAATAAATAATAATCTATATTATAATTTATATAAATTATTAATTAGAAATATTATAAATAAGTCTAAATATTACTTTTTTAGAATATTAAACTATTATAATTATTATAATAATAGTATTTTATTTATTTAAGTTTTAATATTAAAAGCTAGAGCTTTTAAAAAAGCTATAAATATTTATATAAGTCTTTTTATATATATATTAAAAGAACTAGTTATTATAAAAGTAGTTTTATACTAGTTTTTTTAATATAATAAAAAAAGCTTTTATTAATATCTTTATCGAAATTTTATATATTAATATATATTAAAGAAAATAATAAGTTTATAATTAAAAGTATTATTAGTTTTATTATATTCTTATATTTTAATATATTTTTTTATTATCTTTTTAATTAGCTTTTTAGTAAAAGAGGTATTTAAAGAATTATTTAAAAGTAATAAAAGTAATAGAAATCCGTTATTATAAGCTTTTTATAATCTAATATTAGTAAAAATAATTATAAATAATAATTAGTTTAATATATTAATTTCTTATAATACTATTATTAAAGAATATATATAATAAAATAATAAGGCTTATATTAAGATTTAGTCTAATAATAATAATATTAGCTATAATTTAAATATATTATTCTTTTTTATATAGTATTAGCTAAAAATTATATAATAATAAATTCTTTATTATTATATTTAATATAAATACTATTATATTATAAAATAGCTTATAATTAATATAGTTTATATTAATTAAATTAATTAAATATTTTGAAATCGAAATTATTAAAATTATTTTTAAATAATTCCTAGAAATTATTATTAATTAACTTTTTTATTTTATATTAAAATAATCTAGACCTTTTTTATTATTATAAGTAATTAGAATAATACTATTCTTTTATTTCTTTATTTATTCTATAATTCTATTATATTAAACTTTTAGAGCTAAGCTTTTTCTAATATATATATATATTATAATAACTAGTATTATATAATTAGTTTTAGCTAAGGTTCCAAGCTATAATTCAAATTAAGCTTGCTTTAAACTAAGCTCGATATTTTAATAGTTTTAATTATATTTATTTATTTACTATTATATTTTATTCTCTTTTTTCTTTTTTAGCTTTAGATTCTATAAAATATTAGAATTATAAATCTTTAAATATTATTTTATTATTTTATTTCTATTATTATATATATAACTTATAATAGATTTATAATAAATTTATAGAAAGAATTTAATAATAAAATATTAGAAATAAATATTTCGCCTTTAAATATTTCATTTATAATAAGAAATTTAGAAAGTGAAATATTATAATTTCAGAAGAATTTAAAGCTTAAAAAGTTTAATTTAATAATAAAATCGAAGTTATAATTAAAGAACTTTAAAGATAAATATAAAATATATATATTTTAAAAAAAAGAAAGTTCTTATAAATTCGAGTATTATATAAATAGAAAAGATAATTATTAAAAAAATAGTTTTGGAATTAAAAGAAATTAGTTTTAAAGAATAATAAATAATTAAATAGCCAATTATTTATTAATTAGTAAAAACTAGAAGTTTTTTTTAGGCTACTAAATACTTTTTTATAGAATTAATAGGTAATTTCTTTCTTTAATATAAACTAGTTTAATTTTATTATAAACTACTAGATATTTCTTTAGCTTAAAAGATTCTATTTTCTAATTTATATATAAATTAATTAGTATTAATTTATTAGAAATATATAATATAATATATAATATATCTGAATTCTTTAGTATATAAAGTTAATAAAGTAATTAATATTTAGAAATAAGAATTATAGTATTATAGTATTAATATGTAATTTCTAAATTTGCTAAGTCTAAGGGAACTAGCTATTAGTCGAGTTACTTATAAAATGCGAGGTTATATAACTATATCCCGTGTCTCATATCCTGTTCCCTATATCCCATTGCTCATGTCCCGTGTCCCGAGTCCCGTGACTACGCACGTGACTCCCGAAGGAACAGCTATACTAATAGGGACCTTTTACCTTGCCTTTTAAGCCCTAAATACCATACTTATAACAAGCTTTAAGCTCAATATTAATTACGTAATATATAATATTAGGTCAATTTTATATTATAATCTTGTTTAATATATATGAAATCAGTAATATGGAAATTTTAAAGATAATCTACTTAGTTATTTAATTATTAAGGTCTAAAAATGGGTACTTTTGGTGGGAAAAGGATATGCATTCGCTTATGGTGTGAATTGACCTTGGAATTCGGTTGTCGCTGTCCCTCACCTACAAGGCGTGCTAGGCGAATTGTAGGTGGGAACCGCCGAACGATTACATGTGAAAGGACTTGAGGCTATCATCCTTCTCGATTCGGCCTGGTACACAAGCCGCACGCCTCAAGATCATGTGGTGACCCCAAGCGCGCGAACGTTATCTTGGGCATCTCTCGATCTCTACAGCCTTACGTATCATGTAAAGAAACATAAGGATGGAACTGAATTCCGAGAACGTCGCAAGGCTACTCTATCCAGTGGCCGCATTTGAGAGTCCGCCAACCATCTCTGTTGACGCATCTTACAAGGCTGGGATTGCACAGCTAAAGCCTAAAAATCTCACACACACCACAACTTGGGAAGCGTCCATACTGAACCCGAAAAATCGAATCGACAGTCTAGCTTGGCCCTCGAATGCGAAATGGAGAGTCGACGGTTCGACAGGTATGGGAACGCAGTTTTACACTGTGCCCATCTTCCTCCGCCACCCGATCCCAATGAGAATTGATACTTTCATCCCAGAGAGGAAGGAGATTCCACCTACCTTGCAAGCAGTTCTTGACATTGGTTCTGCATTCTACACAAGAGACGTTAGGGTTGCGCAACTTGGAATCGCACGGTACATTGTCCGAGTGCTCGATCGCTGGAGCGGGCAAATCTCCGATTTCGCAGCGTTCTACACCAATCTTCCGTTTGGGTCGCGTATTGTCTTTCACAATATTGAGGCCGATATACGGTCTGTCAGAATCCAGATTCTTCACACCCATTTCTTGGAGAGACAGCTGCTATCCGTTGGGTCCCTCCAAGCCATGTGGAAACTACCATCAGATTCGTGGCCTGCGGTGACTGATATATCGAAAGTTACGCTAGTACAGCAACTTCATGACAGTGTCAGCCTCGTGAAATATGCTGGCCAAACTCGCATCATGAAGTCCCTGACCAGCTCTCCGAAGTACCTGTACCATGAGCTTAGAGTCTTACTCACGATGAGTCCCCACCCTAACATCATCTCGAAGCCTTCACATCTGATAGTCAAACAATGCAACTTCGGCAGCAAGATTGCTGTTGTTGGATTCATTCTGGACTATCATTCAGGGGGCACTTTACGGGACGTTTTGCCACTCCGCCGCACACTAGGCACCCACTCTCTCCGGCTACAAGACCAAGTAGTGTGGTCTACCCAGCTCACTGAGGCTTTGATTCACATTCGAGATGAGGGAGTCATGTATTGCGATCTACGGTTGGACAATATCGTGTTGGGAAGTAAGAGTGATAGGATTGTTATGATTGATTTCGAGGGTCGCGGGGTAGGAACTTTTATGAGCGCACCCGAGATCACTTTTATTGAGCACATCCACTCGCTCGCCCGTGAATCCGAAGAGAATGTGGGACAGGTAGAGCTGAACCGCTACAAGCGGCTGCGTGACGGTTATATGAGGGGGTGTTCGATGCCCACACCAACAGAGATGTATCGCAATCCCAGGCACGGGTACTGTGTTTCCTGGCTTTGCCTTAGTGAGAAAGAGAGGGAAGCTGCACAGGTATATATGCTAGGGAAAGTACTCTGGGGCATATTCGAAGGTGTTGGCTCGCCCGAGAAAGGTGTCATGGTTGAGCATCTAAGAGAGGACGCATTGGAATATCCGGAATGGAGAAATGCACCCGAAATTATCAGAGAACTAGTCAATGCTTGTTGTTCCTGTGGGAGGCGTTATGAAAAGTTTCCGCTGGTGAGAAAAGGGCAATTGCTTTGTATGAGGAACACGGATGCGACTGAAACGGCGGAACAAGTGCGCGCTGCTGCAATCGGATGGTGGAAAGCTGAGGTGCATGAAGCCGAGGAGTTCCTTAAGCAAAGAACCGCGGACGCTTCAAGAGTGGAGCATGTATTCAGCGCTCGACCTAGGCTCGAGGACGTGCTGTTCGTACTCAGGTCTTTCAACAAATCTATCGGGGTTTGATGTATTGCGTCTGGTTTCTCTTCATGCTAGCGCTAATGCTTCTGGTTGGACTGTCCTTTTTTGGAGTTTGGAATTTTTGTTAAAACATTATCTGACAGATGTTTGATAAAGACCAGAAACTTTCCACTCTTCATGCGTCGCGTGTGATGCACTAGTAAGGTAGGGCAACCACTTCACTCCAAACTCCAGCACGGGGCGTTCTCTGAAACTCATTACCTCAAATGACACATGATGTAGGTCGCAGGATCATTTCTAATCCCCTACCGCTACACATCAACAAGATCTCGGCTGCATGAGACTATCTTCATCCACTTGTGCATCTGTGGACCACGTGTCGGAAGGTATAGGTGCAGGTTGAGATTTAAACGGAAGATCGAAATTCCCTACAGCATTTGTAAGTTCTTCAATTAACAACTGAGCATACAAACTTACCATTACAAGATAGAAGGGCTTTGTAAGAGTGAACGACGATAGGGTTACGGGCTTGTTGGGACCTTTGCCCATCTCGCTCCTCTGCAGTCCCACGGCTCGCCGTCTTTGAAGTGGCTGGGTTGAATATAGGCTGCGGAGCCATTGCTTCGATGAAAAAGAGAAGTCGTGATGAATGGGAAGTTCTGACCGACTGGATTCCCACACGATTGCAGAATTGACTTGAAGAAGAAGCCGTAAAATTCATCTTTGTCCTTTCAGCCTACCGACGTTGATATAGAGCATTGCACTCTGGAACCGATGAGATTTCGCTAAGCCTTCGAGTTCAAATCGCCTTATCGATAGAAGCCACTCTCTCGGTTTCCTCATCGGTACTCTTAGGCTTTCATCGGCCATCAAGCAGCAGTACGGCGTTGTTGCGGCAGCCAGCCATATCACGGCCCAGCTGGTACTGCGAAACCGTCATCCTCTCTCATCGGTCAACGGTCGACAGTCAATGGTGCCCGTTAGAGTCTGCCCCACCCGTGGTACCGCATGCGCTGGCAATCACTTGAAGAATGATAAAGTATGACGTTAAGTGCGGTTAATGGAGCGCTTTACCAAGGAAAATGCCTTGCATCTGGGAAGCGGGAAGTCCAGACCATAAGGAGCATTGAGCACTCATCGGTCCGGCTTGATCGGTTTATGGCATCATAGGAGACAAAGCGTGTGGACTTATAAGGCCTCCCGTTCATCTGGGGACGGATTCCTGACATTGGACATCTTGCATCCGGGAATTGCCTCGCCCTCCACTGTCATTGGCCGGCGTGACACACCACGCTCTCGCGACCCCGAAGTTCACTTGCAGGTGCCTCCCTATCCTCTGTCTCGTTCGCTTCGAGCATGCGAACCTGTCGGCTAATCTGAGGGCGAAAGGCGCGGTTTCGTCGTACGTTCGCACACTTTACGGAAACTGTGCCTGTGATACCAAGCCAGGAGGCAGACAACACCAAGGGCGAAGGGCGACATGCACGTGATGCAACTGCTCACCATTGGACGCGATCCGAGCCCGTCCCGCCGCGAGATGGCCAGAATGCATTCTTCACCGGTTTCAGCCACCGCGGCAGGGGTTGCGCTCATCGGCCGTGTTGGGTGATTTCACATCGCACATCGGTCGGCGTGCCTCATGTCTCTCACGCCTGTCGGTCTCGGATCTCGAGCCTGGACCGACGGATCTCGAGCCTTCCAGGCGTCCGATGAGCAAACCGGTGAGCAGTCTAACATTGCTATATTGGATACGCACCTCATTTCGTTCGCCACCTCTCGCATTCCTTTACCTCGGTGTCGTGCAGACCGATGAAGCTGGGCTGACGGACACGCATTTCCTCCTCGTCACTGGGCGCTCCTGATCTCCACACTTGTGCTACACCTCCTGGAGAGCCGTAACAACGCCAACGGGGGCTGAACTCGCCTTGTTGCAAGAGGCTGCAATATCGTTAGATCCTCCGCACTCTAAGTGGTATGAAGCCCTCCTAATCTGCTTGAAACAATCTCGCTGGCTGCTGACCGTTGTCTGCTCGCTGCAAAGCGTGGGTGTATTTCGAATACATTCCGGTACTTGCCCCCTCATGCCACCTCTCGAAATTTCCTCGGCTACATGCATAGAGACAAGGGTCCCTGAATTATGATGGATGATTTCTGGCCTCATACCCAAGTCAGATTGTCTTCAGCTCAAGTAGGTTTCCGTGGTTACATTCGCCTCGCTTCTACCTAGCAATTTCTTTTTCTTACCGGCATTATATTTTGCCATGTCGTTTGAATCACACCGTGTCTTTCCGAAAGTTACCCTATAATAAAACATCTAACAAATATTCAGCACCATGGAACCAAACGTGGAAGAAACGGGGGCTCCCCGGAGTTGAGTGTGCGGAAGCGCCTCAGATCAAGCGTTGATATAGCCTCACTTTCTCCTTCTCAAGTTGCTACCGTGTCTGAAGCGGCCGCCATTCTTCAAGTCGACGTTGCGGATCTGTCAGATGCCCTTCGCGACTGCTCTCGACGCCTAGAATCAGACCACAGATCTCAAGCCATGCCTGAAGCAGAAGCTGTCTCCCAACAAGTGCCCATCATGGAGGCAAGACGCTCTGAATCTGGGATTTTGGCCATGGCATCGAACCTCAAGCCCAAAGTACCGTCTGGATTCAGCTCTGCTACCGAAGATTCTCTGACAATACATGATACCTGTGACGTCTCGTCCTTCAGTCTTGGTTTGATACCTAAGCAGATCGCAGACTGCTTCGCGGGCTTCAAGTCTCCAAATTTAAGACCTGCCCTTCCGCACGAAAATCAAGGTGAATCTTATATCTCGTCCAAGAATAAGATAATATATTGATCTCTATCTAGGAGATATGAGTAGTTATTATACTGGTATGACCATGACCGACTCGTCGTTCCTACTAGAAAATAGCAACAACCAACTTTCTTCATCATCTTTGAGTTACGATTTGCAGACACCGGGAACTAGTACCGGGTTCAACGTACTTGACGATTTTTCTCAAGATGCGGTACTATTATGTTCACAACAGATATATCTACTGTACTAAAATTGTGCTAGTTTATTTCAGATTACGCTTGCGATTATTCCGCGCCAGGTACTGAAGAGTGGATGGCGAGCAACGGACAACCACATATGTCACAGCACACGCAACCATACATCTCCCCTCCATCCATGGTGTACCCTCTAGAGGATGACATCGATGGCGAGGAGGATTTGATATCCTTCAGCGGAGACTTTGGTTTCAGCAAGACACGAAACTCTTCAAATGTGCCGGGACAAATCTATTCTCTGGCGCACCTTGAGATGAGCCCCGTAGCTCAAAACAAGCAGCAGACACCAGGTCTCGAAGCTAGCCAGAAAATGCAGCGGTTGATTGCCACTCCTCGAAGGAAGTTCCAGTCTGCCGATCACCGACAAAAAACGGCTCAAACTCGAAAGCTCACAGCGTGTGTTCGCTGTAGAATGCAACGGATCAGGGTAAGTACTCGTACTTGAATCAGGAGATATCACTGATACATTGTAATGCAGTGCGATCCAGATCCTGCCAATCCCAGAGGGGTTTGCTTGACCTGCCAAAAAGTCATGAAACCCACGCTGCATAAACTTCCTTGTCTACGCTATAAATTGACGGATGTTCGGCTGTTTCGAGAGGGAAGCTACGCTGCTGGTCGTGAGTGGAGTCATCGATGGTCAAGCAACAACATGGACAACATCATGCATTGGGCTTCGTCAGAACTGAAGAACATACAAGTAACTCAAGACTATGGTCCGACTACACTCACATTCACGGTGAGACAATTCGTGCCAGTGAAAGGAGATATGTTACATCGGCAATGGTCAGACGGAGCTGTCACCAAATCCGTTGCGACTCCCAACTACGCGATTGTTGACATGGCAGCGGCATTACAAGCGCACAAAGATTTCATCATTAATGAAGGGCCCCAATTCTTCAAGAGTACACTTGACTACAACGATCGATTACTCTGGGACACCTACAGCACTGCAATTTGGTTTTCTAATACAGCTAAGGTGAGTGATTCGCGAATCTAATGGCAAGATAGAACTAACGAGTCATTCAACATTCTAGTCACCTGAAGAAAGAGAGGTCTTGCAAATGGTCCTCCAATTATGGGTAACCATAAGAATGCGCACGCGATCAGTCCGAATCACTGGTGCAGAGACACTTGGTATGCCTTCTGACTTGATGGACAAATCAAGCGGAATGCATGGAAAGATACCTATTCCACCAGTATTGGGCGCACAGATGCAGTTTATTCTAAACCACAAACTTCTAGCACCTCTCCGCTCCAAGATCTTGGTTCGGTTACAGAAGCTCATTCTGGACCAGAAACCAGACAACTGGTTTTGCATCTATCTCTGCACGTTCATTTTACTTCATAATTGCTCATTGCTAACGGCTCACGATGTCGGGTATGCTCGAAAACATGGTCTTAAGGTCTGTTATCAATCTTTATGCCAATATTCTCAATATCTAACCTGTCAGAAGACTCAGCATGCTAGGCCAGATATGATCAAAGAACTCCATCTCGGTGCAAATGTTCTCCTTGCTCACTTTCACTACGGCTGCAAAGGCCATCGTCCGTTCACTCTTGATTGGAACCCGGAATTATCCACCTCGATGGCAAAATTGGATGACAAGCAACTTCGTTTCGTGAGGCAGACGGCTGTCTATGTCGAGTATACTGGTCAGTATCGTCCACCGAATCTTTTTTTATTTGAGCTAGGGCCTGACTGCCAAAGGACCTCGCTTTAGCAAGCTACTTTCTGAAGGGATCAACCATAGCGAGCACTATTTCGTGGCCCAAATGTATGAAGAGGAGTGGAAACCGGGATTGTCTATCGAATAAGTCGTTGATGGTAGGGAGGAGGTAATTTACACGGAGCTGAATCATTTCTTCGCACTTTCAAACGATTGTATTGATATCGGGATGCAATGGTGGCTGCGTGTCACCTGCCATGACACCTTCGGCCTCTCTTGTGACAGGCTGTCCAACTTGGTGTCCGAATGCTTTCCATTGGCTCTTAGCGAAGCCATGAAATACTGACCATTTAGGAACCCCGTCGTGACGATTCAGCTCTGCACACGCTGCATAAAGACGCCGAATACGGGAGCTTTACGGATCCAATGCGAAGCAGCCTCATCTCGCCAGAGTTAAACAGATTCCCCACTCTAATCTTCCTGAGCACATCCGACAGCAGCTCCCACTCTCCATCGACAGTATCATCCGAATCGACGTTAACTTGATCTAGCCCTTTCCCCGCTATACAGACATACTTTCGAGGTAGCAACTTTGATTTGCCGCTTAACCAACGAAACATACCTCATAATGGCATTGGTTCATCCTTCAGGCTTTGGATCATGCCACCTTGAGCGTGGCGAGAATCTATTGCAAAGCCGACATGCCAAGAACGCGAAACAGCCGACCACGACTCAAACCCGTGCTACACCAATTCTACCGTCCGGCTTTCCCATATTCTTGGATTCCAAATTGGCCTGGTCGACCTCTGAAGTCTCCAGTGTGCTGGAGTACACTTATCATCTCACACAGGAGGATAGGGTTGAGATAGATAACGCATTAAAGTCGTTCATAGGTTTGGATCGCCCTGGGGTTTTTTAAAGCCGTATCTAACTTTTGCGTTAGCCCGTGGTTTAGACGGCGACTTGGTGGATTCCACGAACTTTCCCCTCCCAAATCTGCGACAAACTCTTGGACAGCAGTCTTTGGAGGTACACACCGGCAGAGGATTCTGCCTTATCAGGGGTCTCGAGTACTGGAAGTATTCGGTCGAAGACAACATGGTTATCTTTCTAGGAATACAAAGTTTCATCGCAGAAAAACGAGCACGTCAAGACGAGAAGGGAAATATGATAGGTGCGTAAAACCGTCCCATACCTCGCGGTAAAGCTGATGATCTTTATAGTCCATATTGTTACCGACGACACTGTGGCACTAAATCCGCTGAAGGAATTTCATACAAGACATTCTAAATCTTCCATTGTGAGCGCTTTGGGGAAAACCAATGTTGTGATGTTCAAGCTGACGTCTGCCTCAAGCCCTTTCATACTGACCACCTAGGAGACATCTTAGCTTTCCAAACCCGCAGTACTGCGGCACGCGGTGGTAATTGTATTCTGTCACCTGCGTATACAATCTATAACGAGCTTGTGGCCACAAGGCCAGATATCATATGGATTCTCAGTCAACCAAGTTGGCCTTTGCATATGTGAGTCATCGAAAATCCCATTCTCCATACGTATAATACGATCGACACGATCGACACGATCGATTCACTGCATTTCTTACCAAGCTTGCTATACTTAGCCCGTACTATCATCAGCGCGCCCTACTCTTCTACGAAGACTCGCGAATCATCTTCAACTTTGCCCCAAACGCATTACTGGGTAGCAAAGCCCACCCCCGGCCGACGAACATCCCCTCTCTGTCACCTCGCCAACTGGAGGCCTTGACGCTAGTCCAAGCATTGGCAGAAAAACACAAGATAGCCATCCCCACTCAAATGGGCGACTTGCACTTTATCAACAATCTCGCGCTGGTGCATCGGCGTGACTCTGTGGAGGTGAGTCCAGGGGGCAAGAGACATCTCGTGCGAATGTACTTGAGGAATGAAGCTCTGGCGTGGAAAATTCCAGAGGCGCTTAATAACACCTGTGGCTGGGAGGAAGCATATTGGCAAGGGGAGGACCTGGAACAGATCTGGCATATAGAGCCAATGCCCGACGTGTTTTTTCCGTTAATAAGAAAGCCAAACTAGGCTATTTCAATTAGGGTTAGGGGTTCGGATTTGCTATCTATATTGCCAATAACTGGCTATAATATTAAAGGTTACTATATTTATATTACTAGCAAAACTTTGCTTTTTTCTTTAAGTAATAAAAGATATTTCATATAAGCTTATTACTTCTATTCATATTTCTTAAAGTTCATTTATAGCATAATATTATTTAATATAAGTATATTATTATTAGCTTATAATTATTTAAGTTTATATTCTAATAATAGCTAGATTTAGTATTTATTTTTTATTAAAAGTTTTTTTGGCTTATTTGACTTTTATTTAAATATTATATTCTAATTAAACTATAAAGGTTTTTTTTTATAATATTATATAATTTCCTCTAATTAATTCGAAAAGAAAAAAATTACTTAAAAATAATAAGTTTTTAAAAATAACTTATAATAATATCTTACTAACTAATAGTTTTTTAATAGTTTTTATTAGATTGCCCTTTTAATTATTATTAAGAAATACTAATAATATAACTAAATTATATAAATTTGAGCGTATTTTTTTTAGTTATATAAGCTTATATTTTTTATAATTAACTAAAATATTAATATATATAGCTTATTTTTATTAAGAATAATATTATAATCTTTAAGATTTAGAATAATTATAAGTATATTAATATTTCATTTATTAATTAAAAATAAAATTTCTAAGTATTTTTTAATAAATTTAGCTAGTTTTTTATTAAAACCATATATAATATAATAAGAAAAGAAATTATAGTTTTATTTTTAAGAATTACTTTATAAGCTAAATAAGTTTTATATTAATAAAAGTATAATTATTTGCTTTAATATTAATAAAAAAAGCCTAATTTTTAATTTATTTATATTAATAATATAAAATATTATAAGTATATTTTCTTTTATTAAACAAATTAAGTAAATTTTATTAAATTAATATTATAAGTTCCTAAAATAGAGATTTTTTTTAAAAGTACTTGTTTTCTGGTTTTATTTTAGAATTAAAGCCTAAATTCTTTAAATTCTTTACTAGAATAATGTGAGGTGTTTGTTGGTAGGCAATAAGACAATAGAATGAATCAGTGTGTTGTGAAACCACAGTGTTAAATTCAGTACAGAACTAATCTCTGTCCCTCCTGTGAGGTCCAGGGAAGCCCCCTCTAAATAGGAGGCCCCGATGGCATACATACAATTAGTGATTTATAAGCCTAATCATATGATGTAAACAGTGGTTGGTGGGATATCGAAGGGCTGCCGAACTCCCTGATCGACAACCCGCGATATCCGAGGTTCGTCACATGCCCTTAAGTCACGTGCGACCCTGCACACATCACAAATAAAAACTAGAATAGGCTTAATTTTAAAGAAAGCTATCTTGGTTTTCTTAATATATTTAAATAAATAATATTTAATATAATAGCCAAACTCGTTATAATTATAATATTTAATAACTAAGAAATCTTTGATTTTTATAAAAGATTACTTATATTTTTAAAGAAATATATATTTAATTAAAGTAATAAATATAAGTTTTTTAGGTTCTTTTTTTAAAATATAAAAGAATATAATACTAGTAATAAATTTAATTAAATCGATTTCTATTTTCTTATATTTTTTAATATTTTTATATATAGCTTTAATTTATTAATTATTAGTAATATAATATTAAATAAAGTATTAGTATAGTTATTTCTTTGGGAGTTATATATATAATTACGAGATACGAGATATGAGATATAAGTAATAGAATATGGAATACGAGATATAGTTATATAACCTTATATTCTATAGGTAACTTGACTAGTAAACTAGATTCTTTCGAGCTGGCGTCTCGGGAAAAAGTAAAACGACCCCCCCCCCCGGTGTCGATTAGGGGTGTCGATTGGGGCCACACTAACCGAAATCAGCAAGCGGTGGTACGTGCCCGTATAGATTACTTTTTATACACCAGTGTATGCAAATTAATGTATATTGGCACCCCAGTGCGCAATTGCTTTTAATGTACTGGAATGCGCATATTATTATTATTATTTCCAGGCAGATTTAGTTTATAATGCATATGGCAATATTTAATTCTTTTAACCTCTGGCCAAAATGGGAAAATATAAAGCAATACCTTGCCGGGTATTAATTAGGGGGTGTCAATTAGGGTATTAATTAGGGGTGCCGATTAGGGGTGCCGATTAGGGGCATTGACCATAAGAGAGCCTGAAAATTTTAGCCGATTGAGCACCTGGAACTTATTTGCCTCGTGCAATAATCGCCTCGCTTACCCATGCCCCAAAACTAGAGCTCTTATATATAAACTTATACAAGTAATTATTTGGACATTATTAAAACTCTAAAATCTATTAATGCTCCTATTTAATACCTGCGGTAATGGTGGGGAAAGGCCTTGGGGGGCCGTATGCGATTCTAAGGCTGAATCGGTTCCTTAGTAATAAACTCGGGAAGTGCCAAGCGCTAAGCCAAAAAAAGATTCTGCCATCGACACCCCCAATCGACACCCGGGGGAGGAGGGGGGGGTTGTTTTACTTTTCCCCAACAAGCGGTACTCTTCTCAAGAACTGGGGGGGGGGGGGGGGGGGGGTCGTTTTACTTTTTCCCGGCGTCTCTGCCTCTTTACTCTCCCTCCCGCAAACGCGAAATCCTGCATTTCATCATCATCGGCGGGGGACCCACAGGCGTTGTACTAGCTGCTGAAATCGACGAGTTGATCCATGGGCATTTGGTGAAACTCTATCCGGAGCTCTCAGTGTATGATGTTGCGGACCGCATGTTGGGGAATTTTGGGGAGAGACTGAGTGAGTATACGATGGAACGGTTTAGACGGAGGGAGCTTAGGATTTGTATGGGGCGCCATATTGAGGGGTTTGAGGGAGGGGGGATGTGGGTTAAGGAGGATGGGGTGGTGAGGTTTGGGGTCGCGGTTTGGTGTGTCGGGAATAAAGCTTGTGGGCTTGTTGAGGATCTAGATGTTAGGAAGAGCAAGGGCGGTATAGGACGGGTTCTTACTGACAGCTATCTCCGTGTTTTGAAACCGGGGAAAGACAGGGAGGTCGTGGGCGGTGTCTACGCCCCGGGGATGCGGCTGATATTGATGGACATTCGTTACCCGCTACGGCTGAGGTGGCGGTCCAGAAGGGGAAGTTTCTTGCGAGATACTTGATTGATGGTGAGAGGGAGAGGAGGGGTTACAGTGTGAGCAGAAGGCGGTCGTGGCGTATATTGGACGTGGGGATGGGGTGGTGGATGGTAAGGAGGGGGAGTGGACGGAAGCCGCTGCTTGGGCGGCTTGGAGGGGGGGTAGTCTTGAAAGGACTAGGAGTTGGAGGCGGAGAGTTATGATTATCCTTGTTTGGGTTATGAATAAATTTGATGGGAGGGAGATTGCGAGGCAGTAGCGAGGGGAGTTGGGGCTTGGAAAGGTGTGTTTTTGGCAAGGAAAGAGACTGTCCACAGCTAGAGATATGTAAGGATGATCAACGATTTTGTGAATCATTCTGCTCCAAACAGTTCGTTTGAGGAAGGAGGGGAAATAGGAATATAAAGTCAGTCAACTTTCCTACTCTGATCCGCCAAGCACCCAGAATTCCCAAGAAAAAGGCTACAGAAGGAAATCGACTCACATGTCACTCACAATGCCCTCCCCTCACCTTTATGTCCCGGCATCAACTTCCTTTTCAAGCTTCTCGACTACAACCTTCCAGCCCATACTTCTGTTTTTGAACAGCTGAGAGAAGTCTACGGCTCAAAGAGCGCCAACTTGACAACGAAAACACTATCAACAGCCTTTCAATCTCTTTCTCTCCTAACATGGAATATCACCTTCTAATTCTTCCCCACGGTGCAGGCGGTGGTTTTGGAGGTGTGTGGGTCTGCTCTCTGTAGACCCGCAAGTATGAAAGCCCTCTCGCAGATGTTGGACGTGGAAAGGAAGAGAGAGTTGGAGATCGAAGGCTTTCGATAGCAGAAGTCAACACGTTGCCTCGTGGAATATTGAGCAATACCCTTTTTATACCCTGCCTCTGATGCTGGAACACAAGATCCAGATATTAGAAGAGCTCTCTCTTGGTCAAATACAGTTCTTCATTAGTCTTGCGTTCTCGGTCCTTGATTCGAATTTGCTCTGATTTGAAATACATATTTTGAAAGACAAGGTTTTCCAAGTCTGTGACCACATTGGCGAGTTGTCAACACTACCTTGTGTCTAGTCCTGTCTACCTGTCTTGTGGTGCCGCTCACTGATTCGAAACTGATTAGGTTGAGAGATTCGAGTCGTCTTTCCTCCCTGCCTAATAGTTCAAACGCAGAACGTGAACCTAGACTTTTCTTGAGAAGATAGGTAGTAGTGAATCCACGACTGAGTTCTAGTGATGTAAAGTAGCTACTGGATTAAGCCCTACTTATTCCCTTGCCCAAGCCCGCCACCGTGCTTTATATAAGCCAACGGCTTTCCATTCTCTGCGGTAGAGAGGGCCTAGGGTGTAAAAACCCCCGACATAATGCGCCCCCTTCAGTCGAAAGCTAGGAATCAAAGCCGTGAAGGATGCTACCGTTACCTTGACTAAAACATGGGCAAATTCAACAGGGGTTCGGTACAAAATCCCCTTCCCCTTCATAGTGCTGCGGCTTGTGTTAATGCCGGAAGTCACTAACTTGACAACGAAAGTACCTTTGACAGCAACATGTTGTTCTCTCTCTTTTAACCTAGACCCCAGTTTGCCGGCAATCGTGGTCAAGTACTTAGTTTTTGGAAAGTATTATGTATGGAGTGTCTACAATTTCCAATTGATGTGGCGCCGTCGGTGAGTGCCACTTCGAAGTAAAACAATCCCGTTTCCATGCAACCTCCGAAGGTGCAGGCAAAGCAATACCTGCAGCAAACCTATTGACAAGTCATCAGCAAACAGATATTTATAGTATGGGGGCATGGGGAAGTACTTGGGACGGGCTCTTTCTTTTAATGCCGACGTCGATCAGTGCTCGAGGAAAGATCACTTGGTGGATCCGCTCCAGGAATGCTCCTGAAGTCTTATTCATACCGAAACACGGGGAAAATTCTCAGCTTCTGAATTCCGTATGCTCCTACTTAAGAAATTAGATGGACAGGCAAATACAGAAATTTTCTTTTCCAGAAAAATAAAGTGAAAGTCAACCCTGACTTGCTTGAGCAAGCACCTGGATCAAACTGAAGATCAACCCCAGAAAATATAATTCGCTCCCCGCGCACTCAAGGTTGATACACAGAGAATTCTCCACACACATGCTCAAATGTGGAGAATCGTGTTTACTTGTAAGCACTTCCCAAAACTCATGCCAAGTTCCGGGTTGAAAGCGAAGTCGAGGCCAAATACTACTTGAGTCTTGGAAGAACTAATTCAGAAATGGCAAGGCAATACTAGCAAAGGCTGGCCAATTTACTTCCTGCTCTGGAAACTTTCCAAATGGTGATAGCTTGGAACTAACACAATTGCTGACAACAACACTTCATTCTTTTCTTTCCCTACACACCCTACAACTGGCCTCCATCCATTTCCTTGCTTCAAGTCACTTACCCTCGCCACTCCCAAAGCGCAGCTCGAAGTCGAGCACGGCTCTATGAGAACCCGAGAACGGGCACCAGAGGAAATTTTCTTTCAATACCCGTAACGAAAAACCAAAAGAAGGAATCTCGATCTCGAGCCTTTTATACGACTCATCTAGTAGGTATTAAGAGGAACCGGGTGAGACGGTCAAGAGGCTGTCTTTGACTTGCTAGATAGTAAATATCTCGTGCTGCTCTGTGAGCAAACCCATTACCGCTGAGCCTTCGCTATTTCTTTAGCACTTCCCATTTGTCCTCATACAAGCAGCACAAGCAAAACAAAACATTTGAAGCAATTATACCAAGTTCAGAACAATCTTTCCAAAATAGTGCATTCCAATTTGCCAAGAAAACCCGGGTACGTAGAAACCGACGGAGAAACGATGCAATTGCGATCCTAGAGGTGGAGAGCATACCTTTTACCCTTGAAATTGCAAGCGCAAAAACAAACCAAGCGGTGGAAGGAACGAAACTGGTCTTAGTAACTTTCAATATATATTGCTCCAAGAGACAGACGAAATGTACGTAAGAGTCTACCGAGAAAGTCTGGCGATGGATGAAGAATCAGATTACGAAGATGGAAAAATTTCCTACCACGTAGGATCAGAGGTGCCAGGCGTTGCAAGAGTTATAGGGTAAGGTGGATCAAGTTAGGTGGCACTATTTGACGCAACACATCGTATGACTTGCAAACTCGATGACAGCAACATCAACATTGACAACCACGTTTAACCTCTTTACCCCCTCTTTACCCCACAGGATAAAGCTTACCTTCTTTTCTGAAGCCTAAACAATCAGAAAGGCTTTTGAGCAAAGAGGCAGGAGTCGTGTCGTTGCCGTGGGTTTTTACATCTCTTCTCGGTTGAATCTGCCCAGAGTTCTGGGTTATCATGACATTGGTCCCAATTATATTCAATGAACGGATTTCAATATGGCAGTCTATCTCCAACTACCCTCTTTCTGCGTAGTCCGTTTACTCTCCATCGTTAGAATTTCCCGAAACCAAGACTCCAATCGAATACGAAGACAACGGCATAAAGTATCGGGAATACAGGGCATTGGGAGACTTTCAGGCTCTCCAGCGTACAGATCAAGGTAGCAAACTCGCTACAAGGCCCTATATTTCCAGGCCCTTCCCCTAAAAGCACATTTACGCCTTCGATAAGGGCTACCACACCTTTTCAGGGCTTCTTCCCTGTACTTACAAGGGAGCCTTCGCTAAAGGGGCCTATAATAGTTGCTTGTTTAGCGTCCGAGCGCTGTGGTTGCTCTACCAACAGCGCTATAACCCTAGAAGATCTACTTACCCCAGCGAATATCTTATAGCGCCTCTTTATATAGATTTAGGGAGCACTACCTAGAGTTATAGGGGCTTATAGCGAGCTTCTGCCCTAAATTCACACCCTGTAGAGCGCTGAGGGTCAAAATGCCCTGTATTCCCGATACTTTATGCCGTTGTCTTCGTAAGAAGCCCGGAAGTGAATGCCACATTTCACCTCCCACTACTAATACGAGTTCCAGTATTAGATTCCTTTAAAACCACCTTTTCCGTTTAGCCATGTCAAATGATCGAGAGAGACCGAAGAAAGGCTGGGAAGACCCGAGACATTCCTTGAAAATCAACCCCGAAAATGACAGGAGCAGATACACTTCATACCTCCCTCCGTTCCAATAAAATTGTAAGTGAGGTACTTGAAAACCACTAATATGATAGCTAGACACCACTCTTTGCAACAGTACTCTTCCTTTACCCTCTAGGAATAAACGCCTGCCCTTTCACCCCTCACCATCCTTCGCAGCCGCAAATCACCTCCAATCTCACTCTACCCCCATTCACACTCCCAACCATGATCAATGCGGTTATCATGCAGGAAGGCTGGGCTCACCAATGTCTTTAGGAAGACATTTCCAGTAAAGACTCAATGTGGCCAGAATATTTGGCTCTGGAAGGAGAATTTATATTCAATAACGTTTTCTTCTGACGGCAACGGAACCCCACTTCCCCCCAATCTGAACCTTCCTTTCTTTAACAGCAAGTGTAAATTGAAGAACAAACTTGAGAAATCTTAATATAAAAATGGGTTGTTTTCTTTTGCTTATAACCAACCAAGCTCGCAACACTACAAACACCTTCAATTCCCCAAACAAGCCCAAAAAGAACAGCGAGAGTAAAAGAGAAGGCGGAGGAGGAAAAGGAAAAAAAATAGCAGAGGTGCCAAATAAGTCTTGAACCTTGATTCATGAGCAAACAAGACGATGATCATGATCAAATCTCACCCACAAACTTGACAACAACAATCAACCGCCTTACCCAATTTGACAACACCCATCCCTAGTCCTTTGCTACAGATAAGTTCCCCTTTTTTTTTGGCACAATATCCCCTGCTGAGTTGCTAGTTTTCGCCTGCTAAGTTGCCTTACCAGATACAACAGATACGTAGCACTCTTGTCCTCCTTATCTCTTGCATATTTGAATCTGGCTAGAGAATTTATACTCGACGACGTTTTCTTCTGACGGCAACGTTTTCCTGTGCCATGCCCTGAGTCTGGTCCTTCCTATCTTAAACAGCAAGTGCAAAGAAATAGCTAGAATGCTTGACTTTGGGAGGTGAGTTTATATTCGACAACGTTTTCTTCTAACGGCAACGGGTACCTATATTATACTCTCAAACTAAAGCTTCCTTCTTTAAACAGCAAGTGCAGAGAAATGGTCATTTGCAGACAGGCAAATCCCACATCACCTTGTAGCAACCACACCACTGCAAAGGAAATCTGAAAGAGAAGATATTCTCTCTACTTATTTTCTTGGGCATCCTTTGTCTTGGTCTTCCCGACTCTGTGGGTCTTTTATACCCTGTAAAAGAACGTGGAATACCGCAAAGTGTATTTGCTAAAGGTCTGGCTTTACAAAGAATCTTACAAGGATGTGCACTTACGAGCCGATGGGCAGTAGTCTGTGCGTTCAGGCCAGATTTCGGGCATTTTCAGGCTTCGCAAATTCGCTTATAGGCCTTGGAAAACTAAAGCCTGCTTAAATACTTAAAAGTTATAAGATAGCAAGGAATAGTCACGACTTAATATTTAGGGTGAGAGAAGTAAAGTAACTAAAGCATAATTTGATTAATTAATTTTTAAAGATTTGATCGTTTGAAAATTTTATTTGTTAGTAAAATGCCCTGAGCGCACAGACTACTGTCTGGAGGCTCGTTAGCACCCCTTTCCTAGCGAGATATCAAGCACAGCAGATGTGATATTAAATGCAGCCAAACGCTTTCATCAAGGCTCCAACCCACCTGGGAGCAAGTCGAGAAAATGCAACTAAAGCAACATAAACACATCTTTACCCTTATCAAGAGGGTGTGAGATTTGCCTTTGCCAGACTCAAGACAGATTAGAATAAAAATCCTCTAATTTTTTGTTTTGCATAAATAAGGTTGCTGCTCCTGACTAATAGGGACTGCACGTCGGTTTTCATGTCAATGATCCTAAAGTCACGGTCTTTGCATTCCTGACAAATAAAAAGATTGTCCCTGCCTTGAAATACAGAGTTGGAAAGGAACAAGAAGATGCAAGTGATATGTAGCTTTCACTATCCTTTTGTAAGCTTTGATCAGCAAGCTAAAGGGAAGAGTAGCCCAAATCAAATGTTACCCACAAACTTGACAATAATAACCACTATCTCTCCTCTTGCTATATGAAACTTTCCCCAAGGTGAACAGGCAGCGCAGTAGTAGTACGACTACAAAGAAATGGCTGGTGTAAAATTTTTACTCACTTAAGTGCTTTAATTCGGAAATGTCTTGTCGTTTGGCGCGGCTGCTTCTTATTCTTTGCCCCTCCACATGCGTTTTAAGCTCCTTTGAAAGAGTGCCGAAGACGGTGAAACTAAGCTGCCTCCTCCTCCACGATTTTCGAGAAGTCTGATATTATAGTAAGCAGCCACTCTTACTTGAAACGATGAGGAAATGCACTTATTCAACGCGTTTTTGCGTTTTTTCTTATATATAATTGGTTTTCGGCCTTAAATGTCACGGCACATACAAGACTCCCATAACGTAGGGCGATTGTAATTAGCTGCATTACGAAGATCTGAAGCTAAGGAGTAAAGGTGGTGCCTTGAGGGAACGAGGAAGCCTGTATAGGTAGCTGGCTGGCCGCTCGTCTAAACAAAGGGGTTTAAGCGAGAGCGTGAAGTCACGTGGGCAGGGTGTTGTTTTCATCCGTCAGAGGCCAGACCCTAGACTACAAGCCAGCTTTGGCGGTAGTACTAGCGAAATTGCAGTATAATCTTCTACTTAATTCAGTTGAATCAGTTGCAATTATTCACTGTATCATTCGAGTATTGAGTAAGTGAACATTTCTGTCATTGAATCTCTAGCCTCTGCTAGAGACAAAAGAAACCCCAGCTTCATTCTCTTATGGTTCTACAACTGCTGGACTATCTCTATAGCACTCAACTTACTCTCAGTCTCAACGACTAGCCGTAGAACTTGAACAAATACACCCATGAAATCCTCGGTGCTCTGTTGTTCTAGATTTGACAATAAAGATAACTGGAGCGCGTCTGCTTTTCTAGAATCCATCTCTACAACTGTGATTTCCAACACTGCAAATGGCCAAACCATAGCAAAGCCAGATTGATCTTCGACGGCTCCGCGAAAGGACGGCATGGCATCTCCGTCTGGGTTCTGGTTAATAACGTGGTTCAGCAGCACATTACCCCAACGGCGACGTCTTGCCGTTGGCTCAGGGCCTGTAGCTATTAGTTGTCCGTCTAGGTAGTACGGATCTGATTCCTGTGTTGCAAGCCAATTATTGAGAGCGCACTGCGAAATGGTGACGGCGTCTGAACCAGCAGTAACCGGAACCCTCATCGGACTTATGGAAATCAAGGCGCCCTCCATATCCGAGGCACCCTGGACTGAGGCTCGGTTTGAACTGATGCGGTAGTAGGTTACCTCTTCAATCGGTTGTTGGGGTCCACCTGGTCTCCACCAGTTCAGCAGCCGAGCAATCGTCAGGGCACTAACGGCATGAAACAATGCGGCAGCCGTGATGTGATGCCGTCGGCACCAATTACCGTATGGAAGAGAGTTGATTTTCTGCATTAATGGAGGCGCTGGTAGCGCGTCGTAGGACAGCTTGAGTTCGTCAGGTATTGGAGTGGGGCTCGCGTTTGCCATGAAGTCCTCCCAGACTTTTATGTGTTTTGAAACGACAGGTGTTGGCGAACCATCGAGTCCATCAATCCCGTAATGGGCAATTACCCACTGCTCAATAGAAGGCTTTGCTGCATTTTCGCAAGCGTCGATCAAAGCCTGTGGCTGTTTCTGCTGACAACTATCTCGCTGAAGTATTGCCGCTAGGACAGCATGAAGGTCCCGTGAGATATTACGAGCTACCCATTCGTCCACAATAGCGTGGTGAAAAGCCCATGCGAGTAGACGCGGTTTGGACAGGAATCCCACTCTCCAGAGTGGTCGTGCGAATAACCACTTTCTGCTGACGTCTTTTCTCCAAAACACCTTGGGCTCCTCAATTTCGTCTTCTTGCGAAAAATCCGCGCAGATGACATCGGGCTTTAAAATAGCCTGAACAAATTTGCCATCCTTGATCAATTCGAAAGCAATGTCCGGATGTTCTATCGTTGTTGGATTGCTCTCCACGTTTAGAAGCGAAAAGACCGTCCGTAGATTTTGCTTTATCGACACCAAAAGACCAATGGCTTCATGAAGCTGAGAAGTGGTGCAGCTGACTTGAGAAAGATCGAAGAATTGGTAAAAAATCCATAGCTTCGGGTCCAGCATACTCATCACGAACATCTCTCGTTGAAGCATGGTAGTTGGGAAGACGGTTTCATAAAGCGTGAGATTCGGCTGGAGATCGATCGGCATTATTGGCAGCAGAGCTTCTGTTACTGTTGGAGCGGGTCCGGTGGCTTCTACATGAAACTCTTCCGCCTCTCTCTCTGCTGCAGTGAAATCGGACGCCACCTGTATCAGGCTCTGTGGGCTGTATAGTCGCGAAATTGGAATCTCAACTCCTCGTCCCCTTAATTGTGACCTGAGTCGCAGAGACAATAAAGAGGTGCCTCCATTAGCAAGGAAAGATTGGACTTGCATCTTTTCGCGTTCTTCGGAGGGTAATGTACCGGGATCCTTGCCTGTCAGAATTTCGAGAACTAGGTCCAAGAAAAGCTTTCCTTGCACGGAGATGCGACCTTGGTGGTCCCTAAGGTCGTCACTCAACGCGATTGGACTTGTTTTGTCGATGATGAGCTTCGCCTCTATAGCCAATGCTCCATTGTCTATCTTCGCTGAGGGTGTCTCTGGGAATTTCTCAAATTGCAACCATCTGCGAGGCATCATGTACGCCGGTAAATGGGCAGCGCAAGCCTTTTCAGCCGCAGACACGAAATCCTTCCAACGATTGTCCGTATGAAGGCCGTTTGTTGGATTCCCCTTCAATATCACACAACACGTTGATACCGGACGTCCCACTGAGGGTTCGACCAGAATGACCCTGCATTTGATTACTTGGGGTACTTGATTGACGATGGACTCTATCTCCTCCGGCTGTATCCGATTGCCGTCCACCTTGAACTGGAAGTCGACTCGGCCAAGTAAGACAAAACTTCGGACTCCAATGAACATTCCCAAGTCTCCTGTTCGGTAGATGTAGGTATGTCCGGCATCTCCCGGAAACGGATGAGTTGCAAAGACTTGAGAAGTGGCGTCAGGCCTATTGATGTATCCTGAGCTCATATAGGTTGAGCTGAGGCAGATCTCTCCCGGAACATAGAGAGGACAGAGATTCATAGTGCCTGGTCGAAGTATGTAGACGGAGTAGTCGGAAGTCGGAAGTGGGTGAGCAGGGGGTAGAGTCCCTGTACTAAATATACGTTAACATAGGTCTATGCATCAATGGCACAACGGATACTTACGCCTCATCGTGGAAGGGCAAAGAGTGGGAGTTCATTTCCGTTGCACCGTAACCTATTAGCAATGACACGTGCTGACTCCAGATTTCCCCAACAGAACGCGGGATCGCTTCGCCAACGAGCGAGACGGTCTTCAGTGCAGGGACTTTGTCCGGGCTTGTGAGGGAGATGGCCGAGGGAGTGATACAGATGTCGTCTATGCGGTAACGGTTGATACAACCCGTGAGATCAGATGTAATCTCCTCCTCGGGAGGTATGCAAACGCATCCGCCGTTTGTGAGAAAGGTCCAAATGGCATTCCCGGACGCAGAGGAGATGGGGTTGAAAAAAAGTAAGGTCTTAGAGGCACGTATTCTCCCGGCGTAACTAGCAATCGAGGATCCAAAAGCTGCGTGATTGTGCAGGGTACATTTGGGCCTCCCGGTGGATCCTGAAGTAACCCGAATCCATGCTGGCCGGAAGAGGTATTGGGAGAGGTCAATTTCTGATCCGTGATATGCCTCGGTGGTATAGCCCGATGTCTTCACCCTGTGCCTCAATGCATTAAAGTCATATTTCCACGCAATATGTTCACCGACTCTGCCTTGCCACGATTCATCCACCAACAACAGAGCACACTTGGAATCTTCTATAATGTAGCCATTCCTCAAGTGAGGTTGACTGGGATCAACGAGGACTACTGTATATCCAGCCTTCCAGCAAGACAATATAGCGATAATAACGGCAGGTGATCTTTGCAACATAATACCGACCACAACAGTACTCTCCACAGCAATACCAGTGTCCAAGCGACTTGTGTTCAACCATAGGTGCCGGAAGTCTTCTGCCATGAAGTCGGATATGAGATCCAGTTCCATGTAGGTTATCACATCGCCACCAGTGCCCTCAAGGGCAGGGCGATTGGGAGTCCTCCGAGTCTGACGGCGGACCAGTTGGTGAACCGACCCGATTTCCATATCAGCGAGGCTGCGACCAGGGAGGCTATAGTGACGAATCTGTAGCTCCTCTTGGAGAGATGACATTGATATATCTCTAATAGAGAGTAAAGCCCAACTCCTGTGATTTGTGATATGCCTTAATAAGTGCAAGAAACGGTCCATGACCTTCTCAACATAGTGCCCCGGTAGCGAACTGTGATAGTGGCATATTGCTTGAATTGTCTTCGGTTGCTTGGACAGTAATTGGATTGTAATATCTGACTTGATCTGTGGAGGTAGAGGCATTTCCGTAGTTCCAACAGGGAAATTGAAGGGGTAAACGATCACGTTAGACGAGATCGTGGCGCGGTCGGATTGATCGTCGTGAACGGAGAAGTCCAAATGCTTGTGTAGCAATTCCGAAAATGTGTTATCCTCATCAACAGAGGTATGAACGTCTATTAAAAGGCTCAATTTCAATCCATTTGGAGGTTTTTGGGGCAATACATTCGTCGCTATGAAATCAAAGGAACTTTGAGAAGTGTGGCGGGCCAACACAATGGACCACGCTGCGCTGCAGACTTGCCATGCTGCGAGCCTCTCGACGATGGCTCGACGTTCGATATCGCCGACATCGAAACCAGTGATGTTCTGGTGAAGTACGTGTGATTCTTCTTGGTCGGTGTTTGAAAGGCCAACGCTCGCAAATAATTCCTGCAAACTTCGAAGAAACATGTTCCCAAGTGTTGAAATTAGGGGCCTGAGGCCCCTAATAGGCTTAGTAAGCCCTGGAACCGAACGCCATGGGGCTGTGCACTAGCTTAATACCCTGTACAGCTGGAATACCCTGTACAGCTGGAATACCCTGTACGGCTGGAATACCCTGTACGGCTGGAATACCCTGTATAGCTGGAATACCATGTACGGCTGGAATACCCTGTATAGCTGTAATCGGTTCAGCTGGCATAGGGATTTAGTACATGTGACTTAGGGGGTTCAGGGCTATATATACGGGCTACTTACCACTGTAGAACAGCAGTCAATTCAGTACGTTTTACTTGGTTTACATTGCAAGCACGTGACCCTAGCTTTACTTTAGCTAGATCAACACCAAGGTAGGAGACGGGACTCCTCGTGATATGTCTACGAATATAGGTAATTGGTAAAGTCTGATTCTAAATATCCAAGATATGAGGGGGACAAGTAGTACTAGCGATATTAAATACGGCCCTTGTGGCAGATATGACAATGCTGCGAGCTATGGAGCAGTAATATCGTGGAGGATTACTTCACGTAACAGACTTCTAAGAGAACAATCTACAAGGCGCAGGCATCGCGGAATCCCGCATTAGAAGAGAAAGAGAAGCACGTGAAATCCAGATCCTCCCCAGCTGGACGGAGGTAAGAGAGTTCGGACAAGGCGAGGCATCCCAATGGCCGACAACTGCAGCGGAGTCGAGCAAGACTCCAACGCTTGGAAAGATCGGCCCAGCCACAAACTTCGGGCGAGTTTACGGAGATGGCAAGACGGCAAAAAAAGCACATCACTCTCTCATAGCCCGGTTTTGACGACCATCCAAGCAATTCCGTCGTTAAATTGAACCCGAAGCCCGCGTTCGCCGAGATCCCGAAGTCTTAACCGGTCCAGCTTCTTCAATGCTTATGTAACAACCAAAACAGTCAACTCGTAGAGCCTAGTTGCTCAAAAAAACACGGAGGTCGGAGTCAGTCTTTCGTGTGCGTACTGCGGAATTTTGGAGTGTTATTCTGGGGTGTGCATAGACCTATCGGGAAGATGTGCGCCGCTGTCATTCCCATCCTGGTCTGATCATTTTGTCCTTTCCAGAACCAAGCATGCAGTTCAATATTTGTCTAAACGTTATTTTCGCCTCTTCAAGAACTTGGCGTATTCCTACGTTAGCCACATTTCTCCCAACGCGACATCATGGGAAGCATAATCAACGGACCGTACCACGGTTGTGTAGAACAGGAACAAGGCGAGGTCCACGTGGATGACGAGTTATTCCACCGTGATGTGTCCTTTCCATCTCTTATTGAATTTCATGCACGTTGGCAGCCTTCGCGCGTCTGCATCGTTTCGAGCTCGGCAACATATGATTTCGAGAGTCTCTGGAGCCTAGTAATGGTGAACGCCGGTCGATTTTCCCATCAAGGAGTCAACCAAAGATCAAAAGTGGCCATAGTGTCAGAATCATCTCCTGCTTCGATAGTGGCTTTGCTTGCCGTTCTCAAAATCGGAGCAATTGGTGTGCCCCTAAGCTCTGCGCTCCCCACGTCTCGCATTCAATCTATGGTCCAAATAGGCAAGCTAACACACTTGATTGCCATGACGCCTCAGTCGCAGCAAACCAGCCTGACTGATGTGGTCCATATCACCCTTGATCTGGAGTTACAAGCGCCAAGTACCATCCTCGAAATCGATCCACTCCCAGAAGTAGATCCTCAAGCACCAGCCATTGTTATATTTACCTCGGGCAGTACTGGAGAGCCGAAAGGTGTTATACACTCTCACGCGAGTCTCAGTACGATGGCCCTTGCTGTAGGCAGAGCCTTGCACTTAACTCCGGAAGAGCGCAATTTCCTCTTTCCACCTTTTGGCTGGGCGGTTAACATTATCGACACTTTTGCGACCCTCGTAAGCGGCGCTTGTCTTTGCATACCGACAGAGACCGAGAAATCGCAAGGATTGGAAGATGCAATATGTCGTTTTGCTGCTACTCGCACGACACTTCCACCTTCCGTACTGGGAATCATGGAACCAAGCACCGTCCCTCCTGTGAAAAGCATCGTCCTTGCTGGGGAGCCAATGCGCCCAGACATGTTCCTCACCTGGAGTCCTCACGTGATACTTTACTGGAATTATGGCTCTTCAGAGACGCTTATGGTGCTAGCAGGAAACGCAGCGGAGCGCGAGAGCAACGCATTGAATGCCGGTCATGCTCTTCCATCCTGCAGTTGCTACGTTCTTGATGAAAACGGCAACGAGCTTCCACCTGATCAGCCTGGTCAGCTCGTTATCGAAGGCCATACCAACTTCATGGGCTACTTACGAGACGGCGAAGCCTGCAGTCCTGAGCGCGGACAGAGCGGCTGCGTAATTGTACGCTCTGGAGATCTTTTTGAGCAAGACGGTCGAAATGCAGCATTTGTCCACCGTGGACGAATCGACTCTCAGCTGAAAATTTCAGGCCAGCGGTTCGAGCCACAGGAGGTAGAAAACAAGCTCTGGTCAGCTCTTAGAGACGTCAAGGAGTTGGCTGTTACAGTAGCCATGTTGAAAGGAAATGCGAGAGGACCTGTTCTTGTGGTGGTAGTTGCCCTCGAAAACAAAGACTTTGCCAGGGATTCTTCTCACGCGCGTTTGAACTGCTCATTCGAACGCCTTGTACAGACACTCCCACCTTACATGATTCCGATCGGAGCCCTGGAAATCGACAAACTCCCAAGGTTTCATAACGGCAAACTCGACCGCAAAGGCATCGTATGCTTAGCAGAGCAGCGAGCTGTCACCGATTTGATGGATTTACGGCCTCCACACGAGGATCAAACGAAGAACCTTGACATTGGCTTAGCAAGCAAAGTGGCTCTCGTTTGGGCTAGAGTCTTGAGTTTAGACTCCAAAGACGTCAAATCTCCCTCTAGCTTCTTTCTCCTGGGTGGTAATTCTCTTTACGCTATGAGAGCATGTAAAGAGCTGCGGCAAATTGGCATTTTGATGTCTATCTCTGACTTCTTTCTCCATCCGACCTTAGGCCAGATGGTACATTTCATTGCTACGGCAAATGTGTTTCAACCAGAGGAAGCTGAACAACCCCGGCAGAGTCGCCTTCATATTCCTGAGATTGTCAGTAGTGAGCTCCACCAGATGGCGGCCAAGCAATGCGGCGTTGATGAGGGACTGATCGAGAATGTCTATCCTTGCACTTCGATGCAGGCCGGACTGATGACGCTCAGTGAAATACAAGAAGGTGTATACGTTGCAGAGCACACGTTCCGGCTTCCCAGATCTTGGTCAAAGACAGCCTTCATCAATGCATGGTTACGAGTCCTTAACGCAACTCCAATATTGCGGACTCGGATTGTGCGCCATCAGAACGGGGGACTGTATAATGTCACAATGCGGTTTGACGAATACAAGGCCCGACTATTGGACATGTTTCCCCAATCAGTTCCGATGATCTGTGGATCTCAATTATTCTTGCATTATCTCGGTATGGATCTGGAGCATGACTGCTTGACTTGGCATTGGCGAGTACACTATTCCGTGTACGATCGATGGTCTACCGGCCTTATTCTTGAAATGGCTGAGAAAGAATATGATCAGGTGGAGACGATGCGCTCGACACCCTTCTGGCTGTTTTCAAGGGCCGTGGTCCAACAGGGACTATCTGAGGAGGCGAAAGAATTCTGGCGCTCCAGGTTAGAATCCTTTGCTGGCAGCGTTTTTCCGCAGCTCCCTCTCAATCATCATGTTTGCCGAGCCTCAAGCTCAATTACTTTTGAAACCTCGATTCAGAGACGAAGGTCCGTAACAACGCAAGCAACATTGATTCAGAGTGCTCTTGCATTACTGATCTCGAAAATTCATGGCGAGTCAGATGTGGTCTTCGGAATGACCATCCATGGAAGAGCATTGTTTGATTGTCCGGATGCTGAAAAGGTCGTCGGCCCGGCTATTGCAACGGTGCCTATGCGGTTGCAGCTTGACGGCTTTATACATGTCCATGAATTTCTCAAGCAGGTGCAGACACAGGCGGCTCTCATGTCTGACTACGAGCACTATGGCATACAGAACATGAAATCAATTGGGCCAGGTTGTGCGTCTGCTGCGTCATTTACAACGCTCTTGATCGTACAGTCAGACCTGGAATCTGGCATTGGTCGCGGTCTTCGACGTATCGTGGAACTGGACACTAGTGCCTCTGATTTTTATTTGCATTATCCGCTTGTCATCGAATGCTTCCCACATTCCGAAGGCATCAAGGTGAGGATACGTTACGACCCTGGCGTATTATCCGTGTGGGATGTGCAGATGATGGCCAAGCAATTCGAACAATTACTAGACGAAATGGAACGCAACGCAGATCCGTCGACAGCTATAATGGACTTGAGTCTAGTAAGCCCCGAAAATACTGCCGATCTCCTTCGAATGAGCTGGGGTAATCTGCTCGAACATCGCGAATGCCTCCATGAGCGCATATTCGCCAAAGCAAAAGCCTGGAAGGATGAAGATGCTCTTCATGGATGGGACGCCAGATACACTTATGCCGAGCTGGATGATCTTGTCCGTGTTCTTGTCGCGCGCCTCTCACAAAGCCTTGGACGTATTCCGGGAAAGATTATCCCGATTTGCTATCAAAAATCTGCAGCCGCTATTGTCGCAATGTTGGCCACTCTTTCTGCGGGCCATGCTTTTCTACTGGTTGATCCTACTCTGCCTGCTCAGAGGATCAAGTACATGGTCGAAGTGGTGAAGGCTGACCAGATAGTCTGCTCCTCCGATACTATACACCATGTCCAACACATTGTGGCTCAAACAATCAATTTCGAAGACATCATGAACGCTACCTCGCCCGCTCCAGAGTTCTTGATGGATGCTCCTAGCTCACCAGAAACACCGGCGTACTGCATTTTTACGTCTGGCTCCACCGGGTCGCCAAAAGGAGTACTTCTGTTGCACAAACAAGTTACGAGTGGTCTAGAAGCACAGTGTGATGGCGGGCTCTATCGTCGAAAGACTCGCCTGCTCCAATTTTCCAGCTACAGCTTTGATACGTGCATCGCCGACATTTTTGCCACACTTTTGAGTGGAGGGTGTGTCTGTCCCGAAAGACGAAGAACGGCTGCTCCGAATCTCTCAGAACATCAACGATTTCTCCGTTAATGCAATCGATCTGACGCCTTCGGTGGCAAGAATGATTCAACCGGACGATGTACCTAATTTAGAAGTGCTTCGTCTTGGGGGTGAGCCAATGCACAATCATCATATTCACACATGGGCGAGTCGCTGCAACCTTCAGAATACATATGGTCCAACCGAATGCTGCGTGCAATGCACATTTGTCGATCACGTAGAAGACACCATGTCTCCGTTGGTTATTGGCAAGGGAATTGGCTGCAATACTTGGGTTGTGGATCCGCAAAATCACAAGTATCTCATGCCACTAGGAGCTGTAGGCGAATTAGCGATTCAAGGCCCTGCTGTTGCCGGTGGATATATCAACAATTTGGAGAAGTCGAGGACCTCGTTTCTCCCCAAGGCGCCGTGGCTAGAGACTTACAATATCGAATGCGACTACCCAACCTATCTTACCGGAGACCTGGTGAAGTTCAATCAACAAGGCAACCTTGTCTTTGTTGGGAGGCGAGACAACCAGATTCAGATCCGAGGTCAGCGCGTAGAACCTGAGGAAATCGAGCATGTCCTCCAGCAAGATCCTCTTACTGATCAGGTTGTCGTATGCTACCCGTCAACGGGAGTATTCGCATCCCAGCTAGTCGCTATCCTCGAACCTTCTCATTTCGACTCCGGTCTCTCCTCATCGTCAGTCGTCGGCCAGCAGCAATTGCCCGGACCACTTGTAAACTGGATGGAAAGAAGTGCCCAAGAAGCAGCAGAATTCCTCCCCAAGTATATGGTTCCCGCCGTATACTTGTCGGCGGATAAGACTTTGCTCATGTCCTCTGGCAAGCTTAATCGTCGAAGTATGCAGCAATGGCTCGAACAGCTTTCCACAGATGAGCTCGAGTTTTTGAATCTCTATCAGACGGCCAAGACCTCTGAGCTAGTCACATTATCGCCTGACCTGCCGGAATCGCTAATATCCCCAATCGTGGAACAGATCCAATATCTTCTGTCTTGGAGATCAGGGAACTCGCAAGGCAAGTTCTCAATTCGACACTCATTCTCCCGCATTGGTCTCGATTCCATTACCATAGCCCCTCTTCTGAATTGGATCAACAAGACGTATCAAGCGCAGATGGATATGCAAACATTACTGAGACTCGAAACGGTCCAGGAGCTCGCGTGCCACCTCCATGGCAGAGGAGCGCAGAGCGTAATTCGAAATGCGTTTAGCGAAGACTACGAAGTCATTGAAGACACCATTTCCAAGGGAGTGAACCAACTTTGCCAGAACAATCACATATAAGATTAAAAACATTAAACTAGACTCTATATTTACTATAATAGCTCGAAATATATAGTTTATAAATACTTTTATAATTAATTATAATAGCCTATAATATTAGACTTAATTTATAAAAAAATAACTAAAATAAAAATAATAAAGCTAGAATTAGAAAATAAAAAGCTATAATTCTCAGAATTAGAAAACTAGATATTTCTATTAAAAAATATAAATAGAAATAATAAAAAAAGCTAATAGTAATAAATAGAAATATATAAATAAGAAATTTCTTTTAATTTTAGCTTTAATAAATAAAATAGCTATTTTTTATATCTTAATAGATTTAGGATATTTAGTTTATAGAATTATTTCAGATTAATTTATTTATTACTATTAGCTTTCTTATATATTAATTAAATTAAAGTATTTATAATTAATAGAAAAAAATATTAGAGAATATAATATTATAGATTATTTTTTTTAATTTAGATATTAGAGAATACTAATAAAAACAGATATATATTTATATAGTCTTAAAAATTAAGGCTATAAAATAATTCTAGATAAGATATAGCTATAAAAAAAGAAAGCTTTATTAGGTATAGTTAAGAAATGTTTTATTTTTTAAGATTTCGAACTAGAGATCTATAATAAGCCTAAAAGAAACTCTTATAGCTATAAGCTAATAGATATAATAATATTTGGCTTTTTTATAAACCAGAAATATAGGTTATAAGTCTTTATAGCTAGCTTAGTAAATATTAATAAAATACTAGCTAAAAAGAAATATATAAATCTATAAATAAAGCTTTTAAACTAAATTAGCCCAGATTTCTATAAAGTATTTAATAAAATAAAGGCAAATAAGCTATTAGTTTATTATAAGAATATTAATTATATAATTAAGCTTTTATAAATATCTAATAAGTTAGAATAGACTATTTTATAAAAACTACTTTATAATATATTATAGAATAAGCTATTAGTATTTTATAAAACTTTTATAGATCTATTAAATAAAAAATTTATTAAAGTTAATAACTTTCTAGTAATAGTACTAGTACTTTTTATATATAAGCCAGAAAGTAGTTTATAGTTCTATTATAATTACCGGATATTAAATAAGCTAACCTATAAGAATTACTATTTACTACTTCTAATTTAGAAGATTTTATAATAAATTAGTAAGGCTAAATAATTTACTAAAATAAATATAAGTATTATATTTTATAAGATATAAATTAAAGAAAAAAATAAATAGAAAACTATTTTCTAAATCTACTTTAGACTTTTTAAATAGCTTATTACTTTTTTTAGTCTAGTAAATACTTTAAATACTTTCTAGTAATATATTAATTATATATTTTAAAAGTTCCTTAATAATTTTATATTAATAATATTCTAGTTTTTATAAATAATATAAGAAAATAATACTAAGAATATATTTATATAATATTATAAAAGCTTTAGAATACTAGATTATAGCTTAATATTAATAAATATAAGTTTAAAATATAATTAATATAATATTTAGGCTTTATTATTAAAACTAAAAAAGAGTTATAAATAGATCTAGCTAAAATTAAGATAATTATAGACTAGAAAACTCTAATAAATCCGAAAGATATACTAGGCTTTTTAGGTTTTATAAACTTTTATTAGTACTTTATTAAAAACTTCTTATAGATTATAGTCTTATTTTATAGATTTATAAAAAAAAATATAAACTTCTAATAAAATATAAAAATAAAACAGATATTTAGTTAGCTTAAATAAGTATTTATTAAGGTACTAGTACTAGTATAATTTAATTTAAATAATAAAATAGTATTAAAAACAGACTTTTTAGATTATTATTTTAGTAAAATACTTTTATAATTTAAAAATAGTATTTTATAACTAGTAGCTTTTTTCTTAAAAAAGCATATATTAGTTAAATATAATTATCTAATCTATAATAAAGAGCTATTTACTATTATTTACTATTTAGAGAAATAGAAAGCCGAGTTAAAAAGTATTAGCTAGTTTATAGTTTTTATAGATTATAAAAACCTTAAATACTTTATAATAGTCTATAAATTATTTAAAAGACAAATAAAATAGTAATTAGTATTTAGTAAGTTTAATTTAATAATTAAATACCGGCTTAAAAAAAAGATAATTTCTCTAATATTTTAATAAAAAGAGATTAAGACTTATTAAAAAAAAGAAATAAATATTTAGATTATTAAATAATATAATTAATTTCAGATAATATAATTCAGGAAAATGCTATTTACCTAATATTTATAGAAATAATATCTTTAGTAAAGTAATTATTTATAAACTAGCTATATAATTTATAAGAAAAAGAAAAGATATAAAATAAAAACTTTAAATAGCTTATAACTATTATATAATAAAATAAAAGAATTTTTTTAGTTAATTTAGCCTCTTTAATTAAAATATTAGTTTTAGACTATATAGTTAATAATAATAGATATTTATAGTTTTATAAATGCTTTTAAGTTCTTAATTATAAGCTATTATAAACTATAATTATATAAGAGTTTTATAACTTAATATTTACGAATTATTTAGATAAGAATAAAATAATTATAATAGTTTTAAGGAACTTCTTCTAGTTAAATTTATAATTATTAGTTAAATAATTTATTTATAACTATAATATTTATAAATAAACTAAGATTTAAAGAAATTATAAATAAGGGCTATTATATTTATTACTAGTTTCTAAATAATAATAATAAAAGATTTCTATTAATTTTATTAGTTTATTTTCTCTAAATTAAGGCTTTAATATAATAATAGTATTTATAAATAGATCTAGTAAAGAAGTTTTATTTACTAGTTAATAATTTTATTAGAAAACTTTATTAAGTTATTTATTATAATATATTATAGCTTATATAGGCTTTCTAAAGCTATAATATTAGATAGAGGCTTTTAATTTATTAAATAGATATAATAAATAATAGTGTTTTATAGCTTTTTATTCTTAAATAAATAAAATAACTAAATAAATAAATACCAAAATAGAAGTACTTTTTAGATAATAAATTAATTATATATAAAATAATTAGGCCAGCTAATTACTAGTAATATAACTAGCTTTTAATAAACGGAATTTAATAGTAATAAGTATTAGTTCTTTTTTCTTAAGTTATAGCTATTTATTATAAACTATTAATTTCTTAATAGATATTATAGTAGCTATAAAGCCAAAATTATTTATCTAGAAAAATAAAGTAATTATTATTAAGATTAAGGCTATTATAGAATAGGCTTAATCTGAGATAGTTAAGATATAGTAAAATTAAGAGCTTTAAACTAATTATTCTAGAAATATTACTTCTATTTATAAAATAAATAATAAGATTTATTTGAGTTTATAAAATATATAAATAGAATTATCTAATAAAAAGCTAAATATATAAATTATAAAGTTTATAGTTTTTAATATTATTAGCCCTATTAGCTATAAGCTAAATATATTATAAGAAATTTATAATATCTTTTATATTAATTTACTATAGCCTATAATAAATAATCTATTATCTAGTTAAAAATTAGATAACTTATAATTACTTTTAATACTAGTAAATAATATTAAGAAATATAAAATAGAGAATATATTAGATAAAAAATAAAAGAAGCTTTTAGAATAAGGTTATTATATATAACTAGAGTATTTAGTTAAGTAGTATAACTATATAAGGCTTATTTAGAAACTAGCTTTAGTTCTAGAAAATACTAGAATATTAGATAAATATCTAAAATAGTAAAAGAAAAAAATGTTATTAAAGATTATATTTATAAAATAGTTTTAAAATATTCTAATAATATATATATATATAATCTAGGCTTATAAAATATATATATAAACTAGTAAAAATACTAGTATTATATAGTAATTAAATCTTCTTATATTAAAAAAGCCTTTATAGCTTAATTATATATATTAATTTTAAGTTCTAATAATATTTTCTATTTTATTTTAGTTATTAGATAAAAGTAATAAAAGAAAAAGTAATAAAAATATTTTTAAGCTTAAAAGAAATATATAACTAGCTTTTAAAGAATAAAAGAAGTTATTACTAGCTTCTGCTTTTAGCTTTTTATACTTTTACTATTTTTTTACTAAACTATTATATTTTTATATTAAATAGAAATATAATTAAAATAGAACTAGTAATAATAAATTAGAAGAGCCTAAAAGTAGCTTTCTATATTATAATTAGAATTAAAAAAAGAAAATATAAAAGTAATAGAATTAATAAAAAATAATAATAATAAAAAGCTAGAAAAATAAGAAAAGAAGTAGTAGTATCTAGATAAGACTAAAATTAGTAGTAATATCTAATATTTCAAAACTAATAATTATAACTATAATATAAATAATAAGAATAATAAGACTTTATAACTTATAAAATAATAAAGACTTCTTTTAACTAATAATACTTTAATATTATCTAATAAGCTAATATTTATAGCTAATAATAATTACTATTTCTTGTAAATCTCTTAAAGTTCCTTTATTATAATAGAGTTAGTACTATTTATAAAGTATTAGAAATAGCTTTTTTAAGGCTTTTTAAAATATATTAAAATTAGAAATAAAATAATATATAATCTCGAGTTTTAGTTATTATATATCTAGAAATATCTCTATTTCGAAGTATTAGATATATATTCTACTAAAAAAACAGCTATAAAGGCTATAATTTCTTATAATACTAATATATATTTCAAGATATATTCTATTATTATTTGTTTTTAAATAAAGTATATTTAGTAAATAAATAAAAAATATATAATAATATTTAAAATAAAAGAGAAAAATAGCTATTTATAAAAAGAGATTACTAAAGCTCTTTTTTACTAGACTTTAGGGATAATCTAGATATACTTTTCTATAAGCTAAATAGATATTAGTAAAGCTAATATTTCGGGTAGCTAATAGTAAAAGAAATAGTAAAACTAGTTTCAGAATTAAATATAAAACTAGCTATAAGGTTATA